ATATATAAACATGTGTATGTATGTGTGTATGATGTTGTCATTCTGTTAGATAAATTGTGGCATACTGTTGACACTTCCATAGCTTGCTCTTTTCTCCACTTAACTAAAACAGCCTAGAAATCACTGCATCACTTTGTTCCATTTTTCGTCACTTTTTCCCCCCATCCAATCCTCTATTGATAGATAGTTGGATGGCTTCCAGTTATGCAAATATTTTCACATTTTGCCTCCCTTTGGGAAACATTTGGAGAAAAAAAATTTCTGGGTCAAAAGATGAAGACCTATACAGTTTTGCTAAATTCTGACCAATTCTGCTCCCCAGAGTGTCTCTTTTATTTTGCATTTACACCACGACATAAACAGCGCCTACTTTCCACTGACTCATCTGCCCAATAAGGAGTTTTGTCTTTGAGTTTCCCCCAGTTTTGTTACATTAAACTGTAGTTTCACTTGCAGTTATCCTCTCATGAGCAAAGTTGAACATCTTCCGAACTTAAGGACTGCACTTTTTTCTGTGAGCTCTTTTGCCTCATCTCTTGTCTATTTTTCTATATTGCTACTTCTCTTTTTCTCCTCTGTCTTAAAGTCCTTAATATGCTATGCTTATTAACCTCTCATCTGTGACATGCATATGCATGACTACTTTTTAAATATTTCCTTTTTATGTTACTATGGTGTGTTTTTTCTATATCAAAAATTGCTCACATGTAGTCAAATTTTTCTTTCATTATTTTTTCTCTATGTTTTGAGTCAGAATTAGGAAAGTTTTTCCTCTTTCTGGCTTATAAATGAGCTGACCTGTATTTTCATTTAGGAGGTGTATGCTTCACTGAATGTCTACATCTGTGTGCGTGCAGGCATGTGCACACACACACACACAGCACACCCACAGGCACACAGACGTGCACAACATGTGTGTACAATGCACACACATGTACACACACGTGCACACATGTGTGCATACACATGTGCGCAAACACACACACACACACACACACACACACACGCTCTCTCTCACACTGGTTATGTGCACTCTTGTCCCTCAGGCAGATCTGGATTCTGACCTCGGCAGAGCCTCAGCTGCCCCAGTCTCTTACATGTGTCATGCGAGACCTGTGCACATCCTCCCGTGTACTATAAATCATCTCTAGATGACTCCTAGTACCTACCACCTCAATACTGTGTAAATAGTTGTCATGGTGAGTGTTTAGGGAAGGATGAGCAATAAATGCAGTTTGTATGTGTTCAGTAAAGATGCAAGTTTTATATTTTGTTTTTTGAGGTACTGGGAAATGAGGTTCTGTGGCCTTTGTACTGAGCCCTTCACATTTTAAAAAAGATTTTATTTTGAGATGGACCACTGCTAAGTCAGTAAGTGGCCCAGGCTTGGCTTGGACTTGTAATTGTCTCGCCTAGGCCTCCCCTCAGTGCTGAGATTTAAAGTGTGGTCACCATGCATGGCTTAAAAAATATCTTTGATTTGCAATTGATTGGGATGTGAACTCTTGGGTATGGAGGGCCAACTGTGCACTGTATGTACTGTATCTTATATTTATTTATCTGTGTATGAAATATATTTATAAATGTTTAAATTTTGTATACACATAGGTATACCTTTGACTCAGTACATGTTTCCTGAAAGAACTAAATGAAATGTAATTAAATCAGTGTTTGTATGAACTCAGATATCTTGAAGCTGGTGATGTTCAGCGTCTCATTCTCTTCATGCGACCTTGCATGTGCGCCCTGGGAAGAGTGGGCTGTGCTAGGCCAGGCTGGAGCCCTGCCCTGGCCTTGGCCTTAGACTCTGAGCAGCTGCTCCCTTCTCCTGTGATCCAGCTTCTTCCTCTGCCACATCCCAGGGGAGGAGCTGACCATGTGTGGGATGGAAAGGAGCTAGCTGACTGCAGTTAGTACGAGGGAGAGCTCGGTCTTACTTCCTGCCCCTGTTGGCTGATGCAGTCTGGGCTCAGCCAAGGGAACCAGCACTGATGGGGCATCTAGCTGCCTTCTGAACCAGAGCCCTTAAGCTGGTCTGTGAGAGATACGATCCTGCTGTCCCTTGAAGCCTCTAACAAGAGACCTCTGATTGTACCACATGGGCTGCTTTTGTGGTTAGACTTTGTAGACTAGATGGACCTCCTTAACAAGGAAGGAGTTCCCTAGTGCACAGTAAATAAAAAGGGAGAACAGAGTAGGGAGACTAATAGTGTAGAGATAACGGTGCTCTTCAGAGACATGGTGTCGAAAGATTGGGGAGGGAGCCCACTCCCTCAAATCGGGAGGCCACATCCATGGCCGGTGTCACGAAGACAGACAGTGACTTCCCTCATCGCTGGCATCCAGGAAGCCGAGCAGGTGGGGGATAATTCACCCGAAGATAACTTCCATTAGAGTCTTTGCAGCAGCTTAGCTAAGTAGCTCCTTGGAACATTTTACTATTACATTTGCCATGAGCATGAGCTGGCTTTCACAGATCTGAAGTTGTATAAATATTTGGACCAACTCAGCAGCTTTGATTTAGACCCTGCAAAGAAGACATCTAATTGAAAACAGAAAGCAGGGAGGGAAATGGAGTTTCTGGAAGAGGTTGGCAAACCTATTAACCAGTGCGCCCAGCTGTGTTACAGTCTCTGGTTACATGGAACTTGGTCAGCAGTGGTGGCTCATATCCAATACTCCTGTGTTCTTCAACACTGCAGACTCCCTCCTGGGCCGGACGGCAGGGGCTGCATTGTTAAGGCTGTGACTTCTGGTGTATTCTTTTCAGAGAAGGAATCTTCTTTCTTCCTTCACAGACTACTTTTCACAGCATGAGGGGAAAGAGTCTTTTCTGACTTTCCTGCCTCCTTTACTGGGCTTACTGTCCACCAATTTAGGCAATTCGAAAAATAGCCCTCCTCCTCCAGTATGGCCTTTCCTGTCCAACCAGGTGCCACATTTTGTCACTTCCACTTTATATATAGAACTATCCTGGATTTGTCACTGTCTTGTGCACCTCTGCTATGTGAGTTGGGCCCTTGCCTCCTGTGCCCTGTTCCCCTGTACCCTGGGGGCCTCCTGGGTTCCTGGTCTTGCCTCTGAGGGTTTCATCTCTGTGGTGAGTTCAGTCTTTGTTGTTCATATTAATTACTGGCAGTAGTGGGACTTAAACTCAGGGCATCCACACAAAGCCACCTCTCCAGCCCTGTTTTTTAATTGGCTATTTTGAGACAGGCTCTCACTAGGTTGTGCAGGCTGGGCTCAGACCTGTGAATCTTCTGCTTCAGCCTCTGGAAGTGCTAGGGTTATGGCATGTACTATTGCACCAGGCTTATTGTTTTGTAATCTATGAAGGAAAGAAACTTATCTTGTAGTCCTAGAGGCTGGGAGGTCTAAGAACATGATGCCACCAACCTTGACAAGGGCCTCCAGCTCGCAGAATGGCAGGCACAGCCTCACTAAGATCTCCCTGATTCAGGGCCCCAAGTGCAGCCACGCCCACTGTTGACTAAGACCCTTAGTGAATTTGCTGACAGGATGCAACCCAGATTTCTCTGACTGCAGCAGTAGCCCCTCACCCTGCCCTCCTCCATCGGGAGCTTTGCCTTTTCACTCGGTCAACTTTGCTTGAACTAGAGCATCTGAACTGTGTCCCCTCTGCTGTGAAGCTGCTGCAGCCAGAGGTCTCTGGTCCTTTCTCAGTAATCCCACAGGTGCTTGGCTCAGGCCTGGTGGAGCACTTTCTGCACTGGGAGATGGAGAGGCCCGAGGAGCTGAGCAGTGGGGAGAATGTAGGCTTTGGCATTAATTCAGCCTGGGTTTAAGTCTTGGCTCTGTCATTTCTGAGTTGCTTGATCTTGGACTCAACATTCTCAGCAACTTTTTCCACACTTCTTTCTTTACAGTGCTGGGAGGGTTAAGTGACCCAATGTGAACCTCATCTCATGTGTCTGGTGAGAACTGTAGGTGACAGTCGCCTTCTATCTGTGCCATCTGCGCAAAGGGAGTTTGACTATAGTGGATCATGTTTGAAACTTAATGTTTTCTCTGAGAAATGGGTCTAGCACAGCCTGGTTCATGTTAGAAATAAAGCAGCCATGTGGCTGACAAATGTAGACTGTGTTTGCAGAGACGACTGTAGCTTAGGGCAGCATGGGAGACTGTGAGGGGCCAGGAGGTGGAGGAGCAGTGCGCGCACACCGAGACTGAGCATGCCGCTCACCTGAAGAGGTTTCGCCGGATCGTAAGGCTGTACCTGAAACTCCATCCTAGCAAGTACACCGATACCTGCAGGACACATGGTACTTAAGGACAGGGAGATAATTATATCCTGTTGCTTGTCCACGTCCAAACCCAGTCTGTGGCTCTTTTAAGGGAGGAAGACATTGTTGTTCGTATTAATTACTGGCAATAGTGGAGCATAGAGGCAAAACCTACATCCTCAGCAAGCCGAGTTCCTCTGGGTGGTTTTATGCGCAGCGTGGAGTGGAGGAGAAGACTTGTTCTGCGGGCTTAGATTGTCCACCCCTCTCCCTGGGGATGGATGGGAAGAAGGAGCCGTAAGCCTGGTAGCAGCAGGCTATCATGAGCCTGTCCTATGGGAACTGAGTATTATTCTTACCCCAGAGAGCCTCATGGTTGAGCTGTGAAGATGCTTAGACTTCATGACTTCACAGCACATTGTGTGCGTGTGTGTGTGTGTGTGTGTGTGTGTGTGTGTGTATAGGAGTCAGGGGTGGGGCTGAAGTTCGAATGCTTGATAAGTAATATTTAGGATTCATAAAATTATTTTTGCAGTCTTCTCTATTTTCTACAAAATTTGATCTCTAAGCCCAGTTTTTTGAAAAACGATTTGGAGACTTGATTTTCCTCTTGTCAGGTGGTGTCGTAGCATGTTCTTTCTCATCGTGCTTTCTGCCTTGCTCTCCTTGTAGCCTGCCTTTGGGAGGGCTTGGGTTGGAAATAGGCTTGAGCAGGCACGGTGGGTCACAGTTCTAATGCAGCTTGTGGTCTTCTAGGCGCAGCGGGACCTTCCACATCTCCCTTTCTGGCCAGCACGCTGCTGCCTGTGTCCATCATGGTGTTTGGTGAGTTTTTCCGTCACCCTGGACAAGACGAGGAACTGGTCAACCTGAACGTGGGGGGCTTTAAGCAGTCTGTGGACCAGAGGACCCTGCTGCGGTTCCCTCACACCCGCCTGGGAAAGCTGCTCACCTGCCACTCGGAAGAAGCAATTCTGGAGCTGTGTGATGACTACAGTGTGGCTGACAAAGAGTACTACTTCGATCGGAACCCGTCCTTGTTCAGATATGTGTTGAATTTTTATTACACGGGGAAGCTGCATGTCATGGAGGAGTTGTGCGTGTTCTCATTCTCCCAGGAGATCGAGTACTGGGGCATCAACGAGCTGTTCATCGACTCCTGCTGCAGCAGTCGCTACCAGGAACGCAAGGAGGAGAGCCAGGACAAAGACTGGGAGCAGAGAAGCAATGATGTGAGCACTGATTCCTCCTTTGAAGAGTCTTCTCTCTTTGAGAAGGAGCTGGAGAAGTTTGACCGGATGAGATTTGGTCAGCTCCGGAAGAAAATCTGGATTCGGATGGAGAACCCAGCGTACTGCCTGTCTGCCAAGCTGATTGCCGTCTCATCGCTGAGTGTGGTGCTGGCCTCCATTGTGGCCATGTGTGTGCACAGCATGGCCGAGTTCCAGAACGAGGACGGAGAGGTTGATGACCCTGTGCTGGAAGGCGTTGAGATTGCGTGCATTGCCTGGTTCACAGGGGAGCTTGCCATCCGGTTGGCGGCTGCTCCCTGCCAGAAGAAGTTCTGGAAGAATCCTCTGAACATCATCGACTTTGTCTCTATCATTCCCTTCTATGCCACGCTGGCGGTGGACACCAAGGAGGAGGAGAGCGAGGACATTGAGAACATGGGCAAGGTGGTCCAGATTCTGCGGCTCATGCGGATTTTCCGCATTTTGAAGCTTGCCCGGCACTCAGTAGGACTGCGGTCTCTTGGGGCCACGCTGAGACACAGCTACCATGAGGTTGGGCTCCTGCTCCTTTTCCTGTCTGTTGGTATCTCCATCTTCTCTGTGCTTATCTACTCTGTGGAGAAAGATGACCTTGCATCCAGCCTCACCAGCATTCCCATCTGTTGGTGGTGGGCCACAATCAGCATGACAACTGTGGGCTATGGGGACACCCACCCCGTCACCTTGGCAGGGAAGATCATTGCGAGCACCTGCATCATCTGTGGCATACTGGTGGTGGCTCTGCCTATCACCATCATCTTTAACAAGTTTTCTAAGTATTACCAGAAGCAAAAGGACATGGATGTGGACCAGTGCAGTGAGGAGCCCCTGGAGAAGTGTCAGGAGCTACCTTACTTTAATATCCGGGATATTTATGCACAGAAGGTCCACGCCTTCCTTGCCAGCCTGTCTTCAGTTGGCATCGTGGTGAGCGATCCTGACTCCACAGATTCCTCCAGCATGGATGGCAACGGGGATGCTTATAAAACAGCATCCTTGGAGAATTGCACAGTACCGTGAGCAGGGGCTTCTGTGCCTCTACTTGTGTCCTTTCCCAACATTAGGTTAACACAGCTTTATAAACCTCAGTGGTTTGTTAAAATCATTTACTTCTCAGGGTGTAACTTCTAGCCATAGTTGGACAATCACTGCTGAATTTTGAGATGATAGAATTATCTTTATTTTTTATCAGGGAGGTCAATTAAATGCCTTGTTCTGAAATTTATTTTTTACAGAGAGAGTTGTGATATGGTTTTGGAAAAAAAAATAGTCTATGGCATTGGGTGGGATTTGTGGCTGCAGCTTACGCCTCATTCTGCATTGTCATTTACTCACATTGAGCTAACTGTAAAACCTGACCAGGCAGACCAGAGCCAGCTGATAAAGACACATGCATGTAAGATCCGCACAGTAAGGCGGTGCATGTAAATCCATAGCTGTGCTCTACACATGGAAATCAGGAGCCTAATAAACTTCCCAATTCAGTATGAAAAGTGTCTTGTCATGTTTTTATGTCTAATAAGTACATCCACTTATATTGGCTCAAAAGGGAAAAGCTCTTTTCAGAATATTGAGGGCCCTTTCTTTATGTTTCTGAATTTTGGATAAATGCTGATGGGACCTTTGTGTTTAGTAGCCTGCGGGGTCAGTGGGGAGAAGAGCAAGCCTGTGCTTGAACTGCGCCATCCAGGTTAAACAGGAACACGGGTGCTGGGACGCATGAGGGAAGTCTGAGTACCTCCATCTCTAGAATATATTTTGAATTCTGTAATAGATTTTAGCTGCTAGGATACAACCTTAGTACCTGAAAGTTACATACAGCAGAGTAAACCTGCATGTTCACGGCAGACTCAGTCCGTGTGTGTAAGACAGGTGAGGTGTGGTGCAAGTGTCAGTGTGAGAAAGCTTTGCTGACAGCTGTGAAGTGGGCTGACATTTTCTGATAATGATGGCAATGGCTACATCTTTCAGAGAAACCCTTCACTACAAAGGAAGACACACACAAGCCTCACCAGAGCAGAGACAGAACAGCCGTAATCCATGTGGACAGAATTTAGCCAGCCTTAGTTTTGGAGATTTATGGCAGTGCTAAGTCATGCTGTCAGGCCGGGTACACAGTTGGCTCCCCAAGCTCCTTTGAATGGAGGAGCCAAGCCGTAGGGATTTATGGCCAGCTTCTGTATTTCTCAGAGCACTGAAATGAGGAGGACACTGTGTGCAAGGTATCAGTAATGTTGACTCCTCACTCTGTCACTTCGGAGATTGACACTATCCCCAGGGTGTGTGCTCCCCTCTAACTCTGGAGGTTTCATATGTCCATGTTTGCTACCCCTGAGTGTAGTCCTGAGGCATAGGTGGTTGAATCTGAGATCCTGCCTCATTGCGGGATTCTTCTTCATGAATACTGAACTAACTGAAGATGGCCTACAGGGCGACTGTGCTGATGAAGGCACAGCAGGACTGTGCTGGTGAGAGGCGCTGAGTGCTTTGCCTGTGTGGTCCCTTCCTTCCTGGCAGGGTCCCTACTGCAAGGGTTCCTGCTGTGCTTCACAGCCTGGATTCCCATTCCTGGAGAAGCTTGGAAGGAGGCTCAGGAGGGGGTGATGCATCAGGGGAAGCTGCAGCCTTCGCTAATTTGGTGTCGAGAAACAGCATTTTCAGTGTTTCAACTTAGTGTTAAGGGTTTGCCTTGTGTCAGCAAAGCAGAGTTCTCAAGTTCTTAGACAAGGGGCATTGCCTGGTGGGGAAGAAGTGGGTGTGGGGGACCTAGTGTGTACGGGAGCTCAGAGCTGAGAGCCCAGCAGGCCTCACCCCTCTCTGCTGTTTGCCCACCCTGATGTGAGGGAGTAACAGCTGGGAGCCTTGTAATTCTTTACATTTAAGTAATTTATATTTTTCCTGCAAATTGCCCTTAAACATTGCTTACGTTATAAATTTGCATAATATAAATTAGTTTCAACCTGTCATCTATTTTTTCTTAAATTCTTACATGCCTTGGCCAGTGAAACTTTATGTTTTGTTGCTGAAGGTTTGAGGGAGTTACTTTCCTTAAAATTAAGGGTATTCAGAGCCAAGCCATTTGCAAAGGCCCATTCCCTTCCTTTCGTCTGGTGGCCAGGAGGCAGGCTTAGGTTTGTTTAGAATCACCTGTGGCTGAGCATGCGGTCATTTTCAGCATTCTTTACTTCATTCTCCACAAACAGAATGCCATGGCACTTAGAAACAGGGCATAGGAGGTGTGAATTGACAGAAAAATGGACAAAGGTCTTAGATGGCACTGCCCAAGGTCCTGGACTGTGATGGCTCCAAGCGACCACGGGTCACTGGACCCCCTCTGCACTGTACAGATGAGAAAGAAGAGAAAATTGCTGGGGTGTACAGTGGCAGAGACCAAATCCCCATGAAGCCCTCTGTCCCTCCCCTCCCTCCCTCTCCCTTCCTTTCCTCCCCTTCCTCTCCCTCTTTTCCCTCCTCCTTCCCTCCCTCCCTCCCTTCCTTCTTTCTTTCCCTATGAGATACTTGAAGTACATACAGAGGCGGTAGGAACAGGTGCCCCCCCCATGCCCCTCAGTGTCAACAATTACTAACTCAGTCACAGAACTTATTTCATCTCTTCTGTGACTCATTTCCTTGCTCCCCAGTTTATTTCCATGTCACTTACTCCATAAATATTCCAGGAAGCATCTTTGAAAGAGCAGTCATTCTTGAGTGTAATCACAATGCCGCTAATAAAAACAATGATAATTATTTTGTGCTGTGGAATACCTTAGGAAACATTAATTTCTGAACATCTGGTTCAGATAAGAATCTCTAGAAATCATGAGCTAAAGTGTCACAAGAATGCAGTGAGCCTCAAAGAGAAATTGAAATAATTTCTGCTTAGATTTTCAATGTTCTTGAAATGGATACCTGTTTTCTCAGTTTTCTTTTATGTTTACTTATTGTTCTCTTTTTTAATGTGTTTGGCACAGGGTCTCACTACACAGCTCAGACTCATAGTGATCCTCTTGTTTTGAGCCTCCTCAGTGCTGCAAGTACAGGCATGCACCACCACACCAGGCCTCAGTGGGGCAGGCCCTGTGTGGCATGTGGTGCCAAGGAACAAACCCCGGTCCTTGCACTTGGCTAAGTGGGCACTTGGTCTGCTGAGCTGTTTTGCCAGCCCTAGTTTTCTCAGTTTTTAAAGCCCTCCAGAGACAGCAGACACACTGTTTAGTTTGTGTTTGAACTAACTGGTGCGAAGGGTAATTTCAAGTTCATTTGTCCTTGTTTCAAATTCACTAAAGGTAGAGCCAGCCACTAGCTGCCCCTGAAAACCAAAAAGAATGTCAATAGTTTTTAAATCACTAAGTTTCCATTTGGAGCACTTTTCTCCAACTGTAGAGAATTCACATTTTATTTTTATTTTAATTTTTTTAGTGCTTTACCACAAATCTTTGACATATTTTCTCATTTGACCCTCACAGCAGCCCTGTGAGGTAGGCGGCGCAGATGTTTTTCTCATTTAACAGATGAGGAAAGTAAATCGCAGAGTGGTTAACATGCTCAAAGTTCTACAGTTAGTAAATAATTGTATTAATAACCGGTCTTTGGCCTAAAAATTCAGCACCCAGCCTCCCTTCATGTATGCCCACCTACTTCACAGGGATGGTGAAGATAAAATGAATTCAAGGCTAGAAAAATACTTGGAAGGACAAAAGCTCTATTAATTATATAGTGTATGAACCCAGAGCATTACATTACCTCTGTCTAAACTAACCAAGCAACTAAGTAAGGCAGGGTAACAGTGTGATCCTGTTTAATGGTACATAAATCACAATCAGGATAGCTGCATTATTAAGCAAAATGAACAACACACAAAGGCTAATGAGCAACTAGGCCCCACTAAAGTACACAGCAAAGCAAGGCAACATTACCAGACGGCATGATTGCATAGAAGAAAACAGTGGTGTCAGAGTTCAAACTGGCACACACATAGTTATCTAAGGCAAAGTGGTTGCAAAGAAGAGTTACTTGTTCCACATTATATAAATAAGAGCAGAAAATTCATGGGAACCCATGCAAAAGCATCGTGTGTCACACAGATTTCTCCAGTTCAGTACAGGGACTATAAACACTATTACTTTCCTTGTAAAGTATGATTGCACCTATGCTCATATCCTGAACTAAACCAAGGAGCAGCTCCACACTAAACGTCTCTGGGTAACATCTAACCAGTAGGATTACTCACAATCAGACTAATAGAACATCTTTTAAGGTAATGAATTAGATGGCTGTTTAGGTTTCTTCAGAATTTAATTTGGCCCCATATTTGTCCTGCTTTAAGATCCAAAGAAAGTTGTATAGAATGTGTTTGGCACAGGGTCTCACTACACAGCTCAGACTCATAGTGATCCTCTTGTTTTGAGCCTCCTCAGTGCTGCAAGTACAGGCGTGTACCACCACACCAGGCCTCAGTGGGGCAGGGCCTGTGTGGCATGTGGTGCCAAGGAACAAACCCCGGTCCTTGCACTTGGCTAAGCAGGCACTTAGTCTGCTGAGCTATTTTGCCAGCCCTAGTTTTTATTGGTGATTCTGAGTATATGCGTTTATAACATTTAAATGTGAGAGATGAATTTAACATATTAAAAGTTCTATAGCATCTGGTCAGAAAGGATTATATACTATACAAACTAGTGAAGTCATACAAAACCATTTTTCTTTGTCTTTTCAACTGAGAAGAATCCTATTCAGCACACTTCTCCTCCTGAGGTGGTTCATACTGAGCAAGCTTTGCTTTCAGTTTTTTATTTTCTTCTACAGTAGCTTCGTATTTCTCTTTTATTTCTGTCAATTCTAGGCGAAGCAGCTCAATTTCTGGATTTTCTGGGGTAGCAGTTCCTATGTGATGCTTTAAAAAATCCAAAGCACTACTAGTAGGTTTCTCTGGTTCTTCATATAAGGCTACCAACACCTTGGTCAACGTATCCAGCACCCCCGACTTCTCCAAGTACCTCTGGAACTGCTCACGATTTGAGTCGGCGGCTTTGTAATGGGCCATAGTGACAGGGGCAACGGTGTAGCTGGCGCTGGAGAATGTGGCCGGCGGGCTCCTATTTATTTATTTATTTATTTATTTATTGTATTTTAGGGAAATGTCTACAGGGTGTTCAGGGTTTCACTACTACATCAGACTCAGTGATTCTCTTGTTTACAGCCTCTCAAGAGCTGGGATTATAGGCATGCGCCACCTCGCCCAGTCTCGCCCTGGGGGTGGGGCTGGCACTGCAGGCCCTGGGAATCGAACCCCCGTCCCTTGCACCTGCTTGTAGGTGCTTTAATCCTTGCATTTTAAAACCTTTATAAAGTTTATCTTTTTTCAGAAAGTGAGGATAAGAAGGAAAGAATAATGGATTTCACCCAGCTTGACTGACCTCCAAGGAAGGTGGGTATTTCAGCTGGAGCGACTCTCCTCAGAGTGGCAGCTTTGTAGGACTGCTCCACAGGTTA